TTCTTTTTCTATTCAATCTGTTTTCTTTTTATTTATTATATAATAAAAAAAGACCGTTAGGCTGAGACTTGTCATAGCACTTGCGTATCGTTGCTCTTTTGTTGATTTTGATTGCTTCCATTGTCCTCATTTGTAAGTCGCTTTGGATAAAAGCGTCTGCTAAATGACTAAATGTAAATATCAAAATTTGTACGCATTTCTTTATTCTGTGGAACACAAAAGAAGATATTTTGAAAATTGTTGTTTTGGACCCAATTGACTTTGATTATAAAGACAAAATCAGTTGAAACATTCTCCCAAATATCTTCTTTTGTGTTCTAGCTAAAGAATAAAATGCATGCTTCTTTTTTTTTTTAAAGCATGAGGATGGGACTGAGGGTAAGAAGTGTAATGCTACAGCATGCAATCACATGCTAGAGAACTGTATGCTTTCAACTCGGTTGTACTATTGAAAGACGACACCACAGAGCACTGCAAATACGGAACACAATTTTTGCATATAATGATCCACATTTGCCTTGTGCATCTCCGTCTCACCCGAATTGTGCTGGGAAAATATTTGGGCCCATTGCTTCCCTGTGCAGGCCAACGCATGTGCTACACGCACCCTTTGCCAGGCAAGCAAAGCCTCTGGGGTCACCAGGGAGAACAGAGAGGAGTTGAACACGTTGTTTGTGGTTTGAGTTACAAGCAATCCTGTTCCCAGCAAATAAAAATCATCCAGAGATGACAAGATCCCTGGAAATGATGCGAGAAACCGTTTAATAGCACTAAATTATTGTTAGTTTGAATTATAAAAGACATACATCTGCCTATATATACCAGGGTAGCTGCTAAAGGACAGTCTGCTTGTGCCATTATGCTTATTTTTCAAGTCCCAGTGCTTGTAGATTCTCATGCTTGCAGCATAGCTGTACCAGCTGGAGTGACCAAGCAACAGATTCTCATAGCCAGGTAACATCTGCAGATAAAATGGGCAAAAACAAATGACAAAAAGTTGTTGGCGAATGAAACAAAGCCATTTCCAACACAGGCAGCCCTAAATATTCAGATTAGTGCTATTGAAAACCCCTGACATGGGGTTTTTATTGGCAAATTCCTATTACATTTGGTCCCAATTCAGAATATGTACTTACAGTCATGAGGTGAAGGCATCATTTTACCTCTAACCTTGATGAGAGCAGAACAGTGACTCATGCCTGGCATTCTGAAGGAGTCAGAAGAAGAGTTGGAACGCCTTTTGAGAGCAGGGATTAAATCTAGCAAATCCCCAATACCATTGAGTTCACTTGAGATACTTAGGCCTTTTCAAATGTCTATATGAGTGTTATCAAACTCTCAGAATGAGATGCACAGTACATTTAAACAGATGCATGCACATTTCAGGTTTCCTGACCTTTTCCTGTCTACTTTTGGCCCAGTATGCTGCCCCAGCATGCAGTCCATCCATCTGAGCCACTAGAAGACCCACATGATGCCACAAAGGATCAGTCTTTCCGTTTAATTTCACTTGTGTTCTTGTCCATGAGTCTTGCTCACTATTTTAAAGAATGAAAGATTAATAAAGACAGATATAATCATAGATTAGTAATACATGTGTTTATGCAATACAAAATTCTAAGAAAGTCTTTAAAACCTCTAAATGTAAAAAAACTGCAAGTAGGTGTATTTGATCATACCTGACATTATTTTAATTTTGGAATAGTGCAATCAATTTACATTTAGTCATTTAGCAGACGCTTTTATCCAAAGCGACTTACAAATGAGGACAATGGAAGCAATCAAAATCAACAAAAGAGCAATGATATGCAAGTGCTATATATATCTCAGTTAGCCTAATGCAGTACACGTAGCAACACGTAGTCTTTTTTAATTATATAATAAATAAAAAGAAAACCGATAGAATATAAAAGAATAGAATAGAGCAAGCTAGTGTTAGAGGCCTTTTTTTGCTTTTTGTTAATTGTATAATAAATAAAAAGAAAACAAATAGATAGAATACAAAAAAACAAGCAAGCAGTTAGTAAATGAATAGAGTGCAAGTATAAAAGGGGCAAGTTTTTTTTTTTTTTTAGAATTTAGATAATAAATGTCACTTACCTCATAAAGCATTTCAGAGGTTTCATAACACTATTGTCCTTTATCATCTGAGGATACATATTATAGTAATGGTTTATCATCTGTCTGTGAATAAAAAGTTATTGGGATGTTAATATACTGAAATGTTTTATACTTTGGTTATCATTGCTATAGTTATATAACACCCAGGACAATGTATTTCAGAATACTAATAAACTCAGACCTATTTACTTTAGTGAAAAAATGTGTTTAATTGTATTTAATGTGCACTTAAAAAAATAGGTTAGTGTACTTCAGATCTTGAGAGTATATTTAAAAAACTGTGCAGACATTGTTTCTCAACTAATTTTTTATAAAGTGCACTTTATAATAATGCTAAATTAAAAGTTTTCCTTTAAGTACTGTCTTTTTATAATCTTGTGTCATGCTTTAAATAAGTAAATTTACAAAAATCAGACCAGAGAAAACCAAAGCTTGCTCTGACCCACCTCAGCCCCTAATATAAAAGCAGTTTTTAATCTTTGTGAATGGATTTATGCCAGCAGCATTAAACAGACTGTATAGACACCTAAACACCACTTGAGAAGCAATTCTGTGCCACCTTTGCAGTGTAAATTTGACAATATTTTTAAGTAGATTGTTTCTATAATAAGTCTTATCTCTTTAAAGGTATCCCAAAGTGTTCTTCTTTTTCTCAAGGGTTAGTCAGTTTAACTTACGAGGCTGTAAGGTATCCTTCAAGGTATCCGGCCAAGAAATATGTAATTTCATCGTTCTCCTGGAATTGTCCATAACCAGCCTGCACTTCCAGCACTCCCCATCCAGAAACAGATAAACTATCATTGAAATAACCAAGTGCATCTCCCTCCTCTTCCATTGCACCCTCTTTCAGCGCCACAGACCTCTGAACAGCATCCCAATATACGGTGGCTCTCTGAACATCTAGCGAACAGTGAGAACAGAGATCATAATCAATAAGCGTTTCATATGTTTGATATATTTTTATATCATGATAGCCGCGGCTCGTTTGGTAACCACTTTCCAAACAGGGAACATGTCTAAAATACGGCATATTGAAAGAGTAAAATTCGTTTAAGACACTTACGCTGAGCCTTCACGAAGGTCGCCGTTAGGACGCACAAAACAAAGCCCCGTGCAAAACGATGCATGTTTTAGTTTACTTTCTGGATCTGATTAACACATTCGCTATCTAATTTATAACCAAGCTAAATACTCAGTGGCAGGTAATGACTGAAGAGCTATAGCGAATTTACACCTGCTTTAAGTCTAAATGCTGATACGCATAGCGTGCTTATTTTTATAGGCCTGCAGTTAGCTTTCTGTCACCTGTTGGATCGCTACGAAGCGTTTAAAAGATTTCCACCCCAGATGGGACTCGAACCCACAATCCCTGGTTTAGAAGGCCAGTGCCTTATCCATTAGGCCACTGGGGCTTACGTCACATAAGCCCTAACTCCTGGCTTAGAAAGATGCAATACAAATAAAAGTATGTCACGTATTAAATTATTTACATTTTTAAGTTATATATTTGATTTAATACATCCTATCTAAAAAGTCTCTGGTGTATATAATTGATAGATAATTATTGCTAATAATTAATGCTATTCAGATACACATTTACGTATTAACCTGTATTTCTGTTTCAATACACTTATTCAACAGTTGTAAAAAATCATAATTTTATTAAACAATCAATAGTGTATTCAGTACGAGTAGTAATGTCATAACAGTCAAAAAATCATAACAGGACTTATGGTGCTTTTATTATGAAAGAATGTGACACCGGTGTTCCGGTGAATTCTGTTTCCCCGTTTCCCCCTCACAGCGCATGCGCAACTTCGCAGCGTTGCCAAGTCCGCGGTTTTCCCGCGGTAGATTTTAGTAGCAATTGGACGTTTTTTTTTTTAATATCCTGGCAACCCTGAAACTTCCGTACTAAAATCATGCTGTCAATGCTGTCTTTCTGCAAGCAATGTTCATTTCACCATGTTAATTAGATAATTTGTAATTAAATACGTATTAATGTACTGCCGCCTCCATGTGCCTCCTGTTTTGATGGTTTCCCTCTAGTCGGGCTAGTTATCGGCTGGCTTCTATTAATATCTGTGCCGAGGTGTAAGGTAATATTCGTAGGTTTAAAACATCAATAAGATTAAAATGTTTAGATTTAACTATTGTTGATGTGATTGAAGGACTAGTGTAAAGTACTGGTTGAGAGTAAAGTTTGGTAGCTAATTCTCTGAGCTAGCCTGCAATGATATTAGCATGCTAACTGTGTGAGACAACGTAAGCTCAGCAACATCTATTTCGAGTTTATCGAGCTGCAAGGTGCAACAGCTTTGTTTAAAAGGAACACTTTTCAACGTCAATCTTTTATTTACATGTATAGTGACAGGCTAGCATGTTGAGCTAATGTCACAGTCCTGTTAATGAATTAAAAAGTGAGGATATAACACTGATGTATAATAGAGTGGGATGTAATTATCTGTATTAGTAAATCCATATGCTTCCGAGATCTATCAGTTTTTTAAGGTCTAGTGTGCTAGATTTTTGTGATCCCTGTTAATGTTTTATTAACTTCATTAGTACAGAAAGCAATGGCCTCTGGAGATATTGCTCAGATTACAGAGGCACTGGCCAAGACTCATGTTGGAGAAGTGGAATTAAGTTATAAGGGACGAGGGCTGAAGTTGGACAATGCTGAGTCAGGTGAGTAAAACGATCTGTTGGCAGATGTTTTCATTTTCTATGTGTTAATGCATAAACCTTAACACTCGTAATTTCCCTCCTTTTCTGTGATGTTGCAGTGAAAGAGATGGTGCAGGAGATCGAACAGTGTCAGGGTCTGCAGTCTCTCAGATTAGAGGGAAACACATTGGGGGTTGAAGCAGCACAGGCAATTGCAAAATCTCTTGAAGCGAAAAGGGAATTGGAGGTAGTTTTAAATTGCCACTGGAAAATGTTCACTCTTTGACTTTGCTGTTTTTAATCTTTGCCTTTTTTTTTTACTAAGCAATGCCATTGGAGTGACTTGTTCACGGGTCGCCTTCGTTCTGAAATTCCACCTGCTCTGGTAAAACAATACCCATCTCAAAAAGCTCAGTTAAATGTGTTTGCTGTGAGTAAAAAGCTTATTGTATTTCCAACCTTTTATTCAAATTTTCTAGAGATCATTGGGCAATGCTTTGATGACATCAGGGGCCAGACTGACTCATCTGGACTTGAGTGACAATGCCTTCGGCCCTGATGGTGTAAAGGGAATTGAAAGCCTTCTGAAGAGCTCTGCATGCTACACCTTACGTGAGCTCAGGCTTAGGAATTGTGGCATGGGCATTGGAGGGGGTATGGTAAGTTTAGGCCGAGATCAGCTCGATGTAACCGGTTTAAAAAAAGGCATCATAATTTGAGTGGTTATGATTTCAGATGTTTAAAAGCTTTAAAACTGTTTTAAACGTGTTAATATTTTTGGAGCTCATGAAACAGATGGAATATGTAGTTTTATTTATTTTATTATTATTATTATGTTCTTTTTTTATAGATCCTTGCTTCTGCTTTGACTGAATGTCACAAGCAGTCTAGTGCAGCTGGCTCCCCCCTGAGGTTAAAAGTCTTCATAGCTGGACGTAATCGGCTGGAGAATGATGGTGCTGCTGCACTTGCCAAAGCATTTAAGGTACTAAGGCATAATGTTTTATAAAAATATATATTTACACTATTGTTTAAAAGTTTAGGGTCAGTACCTTTTTTTTAATTAATACTTTTATTTAGCATAGATGTATTACATTGATCAAAAGTGACTTCTATTTCAAATAAATGTTGCTCTTTTAAACTTTCTTGGTGACTACTTAAAAAAAATCTTAAAAAATATTACATATTCCACTGCCATAAAATGTAAATATTTCTACTGTGTATTTCGCTTTGTTTGACTCTCTGTTCTTCTTCTTTTTTTTTTTTTTTTTTAAACAGTTGTTAGGCAGTCTTGAGGAGGTCCATATGCCACAGAATGGAATCAACCATCCTGGTATCTCTGCTTTAGCCACTGCCTTAAAGCACAACCCAAACCTTCAGCTCCTCAACCTCAACGACAACACTTTTACTAAGAGAGGATCGATAGCCATGGCGGAGGTATGTTGAGCAACTCGGTATCATGACTTTATATGGTTAGAAGAGATGTTTATTAATGGCTGTCTGTGTGATTTCATCCATGTTTAGGCTATTAGGCACCTCCAGTGTCTTAAAGTCATAAATTTTGGGGACTGCTTGGTTCGCTCAGAAGGTGCGATTGCTATAGCAGGGGCCCTTAGAGAGGGACTGCCATTCCTCAGGGTTAGTTGATGCATGACACCAGCATTGAATCTAGCTGACACACACAAACACTTCCATTCAGTGTTTGTTGATACTGTGGGCATTCTAAAATATTTGTTTTGTTTAGGAGCTGAATTTGTCATTTGGAGAGATCTGTGAGGCTGCAGCTGTGGTAGTTGCAAAGGCTGTTCGGGGCAAAGCTGATCTGGAGAAACTGGACCTGAATGGTAAAATAATAAAATGTTGTTGTCACAGCATTTTATTACTACACAAGTATGCTCTCCCTGATCCACTACTGGTGCCCTGTCTTTAAAAAAAGCCTCCTTTATGAATTATACTATACTGAAACATTCTGCAAAAATGATCAGGAATCGTAAATGTGTTAGACCAGTGATTAATATTTATTTTATTTTTTTTCAACTTTTTTTTTCAACGTGTTGTCTGTCACAATATTTAAAGGCTCCCCACATAAGGTTTTAGGTATTTCTGTCATAATTATGACAAGCTGCTTGCTTTCAAACTTTTTTATTAACAGAAATTGGTAGCTTTGATATATTTTATATATAAATCTGACATATTTTTATCTTTAATGTATACATGTATGTGTGTGTATTTATATATATATATATATATATACATAATGCATATACACAGTACACACACAAATAATATGTAAACATAACATTTTATTTTGAATGTGATTAATTGTTTTGCAGCCCTACACTTTATTAACATTATTTAATATTTACTAATTCACATGCATATCTTTCTGAACAAGTGTGGACCGGAGGTAGACTTCCGCCACAGTTCCATCGCCACCAACCTTAGACCACCTCCTAAAAGCTGTGTGACATCTTTTTTAAAATACAGTGCATGCATAATTATTAGGCAAGTTGATATTCTGATCATATTTTGTTTTCCAAACACATTTTACCAATTCCAAACCACATCAATCTTAATAACTATTATTCGTTTTGTATTTAATCATTTATAAGTGATGTATAATCAGGGGTGTGAAGTAACGAATTACAAATACTCACGTTACAGTAATTAAGTAGTTTTTATCAGTAATTGTACTTTTTTGAGTAGTTTAAAAATTTTGTACTTTTACTTGAGTACATTTTAAGTGATGTATCGGTACTTTTACTCCGCTATTTTCCTCCGTTTGTAGTTGTTACATGCTTATTTTAATTTCATTTTTATCCATCAACGTGATTGGAGAGAGAGTAATAGGTCTCGTGACTTTCGTCTCAATACTCATGAGTACTTTTAAATCGGCTACTCTTTTACTCTTACTCAAGTAGTTTTTTGGACAAGTACTTTTACTCTACTCACACTACATTTTTTGGAAGGTAATGGTACTTTTACTTGAGTATATTTTTTCAGTACTCTTTCCACCACTGTGTATAATTGTCCATGAAGCCTGGAAGGTGTACATAATTATTAGGCAGGTTTTCTTTTACAGATAAAATGAGCCAAAAAAAAAAATTTAACTCAGACTAAATGACCAAAATTATCAAATGCCCATGAGAAGGATGCAATACGAGAATTTGCAAAGTTAAGGCATGACCATTGGACAGCGAAATGCTCATTGGGTCAGCAGGGTCAGAAAAAACAGGTGGAGAAGAAAAGAGACATGTTAACTGCAAAAGAATTAAGAATTAAGGTGAAGAATTAGGTGTAAAACCACCAGGAACCCTTGAGTCTCCAGAAGTACAAGGGTTCACAGGTTCTCAGAGACTTTGCTCGGGTAAAAAATGCTAAAAAATGACCCTCACTTAAGAATCACACGCTGAAGTGTAGTAAAATACAGGAAGACTGATTTATTATAGGCTTTTATAGACAGATAGGATGAGAGTGACTCTTGAAGGACCAGCACCACTTCCTCTTGTACCACTGTCTGAAGAATTTATCTTCCAGAATCTGACAGTAAGTTTTGGGAGCTCATTTTTAGT